ATATATATATAATAGCCAATGAGACAATTGACTACAACATTAGAAACAAATGGTCTCCTCATTCATTTTTTTAAAAGACGGTATATCAACAATATTCCCTTTAAAAAGATAATCCTCCCTATGAAACGGAAGAAAGGAAATGCTTTAAAAACGATATTTATTTTTGGGTGAAGGGCAGTAATGCAGAACTGCAAAACTCCGAATTGAGAGTTTTATATGATGGTTACCTTTAAATGTTGCGTAGCCTCCAACATTTAAACTTTTCACAAAAGCCTCCGGCATTGGCCTTCCCTTTCTTTTTTACTTATTTTATTCTGGAGCACTTTGGGATTACTAAAATATGAAGTGCACCACAAATAATAATAATAATAAAAATCAGATTTATTATTGAAAGTCAGTTGTTGGAACGACCCCGCATCTCCAGTTTGCAAGTGGGCCCTGTCACCGGCACTCATCACCGTCGCTGTCCTTTGAATTAGTGCTGAAACACTCAGCTCCAATTGGACAACACAGCAGGCCTGCTCGTCGAACAGATTTTTTTTCAACAGAATGTTCAGTTATGTGAAAGCAGACCGCCCACATTGTATTGAAATATATTTCATGAGTGAACAATTTCCGAGCCAATTTATCCTGATTTCACTGGCACAAGTATTTTGATTCCGAGTTGGACGTTTAAAATTCATCTTTTTTTTTTCCACAATTTTGGCTCACCTGCTGGCTCTCAAATGTCCAGGTGCTGTCAGGCAAAGAAGCATCCAGGACGCTGATGACCTCCTTAAAGTCAGTGGTGCTACTGGGCTTGACCAACGTGAAATCACTGTACTCCGACATGGGAGACATGCACGACCGGAAGGAGTGACTCTGAGACATGACGTCTCCTCCCAGAACCTCCACGTACTTGATGGGTCCATCGGTGTTGAGCTGAATGTGCAAATTTCTGTTGGGCTTCTTGTCGTCATCCGATAGCGTCCGCCGCACGCAGCAAGTGGCGCCGCTCGTGCTGCTCTTCACGCATTTGACGCCCAAGACGAGCAAAGTGAGCAGAGACAGCACGGACACCGAGGCCAGAGCCACGATCAAATAAAGCGTGATTCTGCCGCCTTTCTTGCCGGGCTCGGACGCCTTGTGTCTCAGCTCCAACACGGGCTCGCTCACGCCGTCCTCCAGCAGGATGGACAGCGTGACGGTGGCCGACTGGACCGGCTCCCCGTCGTCTTTGACTTCAACGATCAGCTTCTGAGAGGAGTCGTCGTGCTCGTACACGGCGCGTTTGGTCCTCACCTCCCCCGTGTACAAATTGATCGTGAACAGGGAGGCGTCCGTGGCCTCCGCCACTTTGTACGAGATCCAGGCGTTGTGGCCCGAGTCGGCGTCCACGGCCGTCACCTTGGTGAGCAGGTGGCCCGCCTTGGCCGAGCGGGGCACCCTCAGGTGGGAGGCGGCGTGGGGGGAGGGGTATATGACAGCGGGGGCGTTGTCGTTCTGGTCCAGGATGAAAACGTGGACGGTGGCGTTGCTACTGAGAGACGGGGAGCCCTGGTCCTTCGCCTCAACCTGAACCCGAAACACTTTGACTTTCTCGTAGTCAAACGAGTGCATGCTGTAGATGCTGCCGTTCTCCGAGTTCACGTAAACGTAAGACGACACGGACACGTCGTGCACTTTCGAGTCCACGATGGAGTAAGAGACTTTGGCATTTTCACCAGCATCCGGGTCATTTGCAGACACCGAGTACAGTATAGAGCCTGCTACTCCGTTTTCTTTTAAATATACATTGTACGAGCTCTGAGAGAACACAGGACGGTTGTCATTAACGTCAGTGATGCTGACACGTATCATTTTGTTACTCGAGAGAGGAGGAGAGCCTGCATCGCTGGCTATTATTTCAATATTGTACTGAGACGTACTCTCTCGGTCTAAAACACCAGTGGTGACCAGCGCGTAATTATTTGAAAAAGATGGTTTCAGAATAAAAGGTGAGCCTTTTGCTAGCTGCAATGTTACCTTACTATTATTACCTGAGTCAGCATCACGTGATGTAAGCAGAGCTACAACGGATCCACTTGGTGCATCCTCGCGGACTGGCTGCGGTTCTGAGGTGAGGATAATTTCTGGAGCATTATCGTTAATATCAATAACATCAATCTGTACACGGCAGTGACTCTCCATTTCAGGAGTCCCTTTGTCTTTAGCAGTCACTTCAATTTTGTAAGACGCAGCTTTTTCATAATCTAAGTCTCCCTTTAAAAATATTTCACCTGTCTGCGAATTTAATTTAAAAACAGACAACACAGAATCAAGTGTGCGTGTGCTAAAAAAATATTCCACTTCTCCGTTTTGTCCCTCGTCTGCATCAGTCGCTGTTATTTTTAGTACAAATGCATCTTTTGCCACGTTTTCTTGTAAGGACGCTTTATACAAATTTTTGTCAAAAACAGGGAAATTGTCATTGTTGTCAAGCACCGCAACAGTAATTTGTGTAGTGCCAGACATGACTGGATTTCCTCCGTCTAAAGCAGTCAGTTGGAGCTGATGAGAAGATTTCTTTTCTCTATCCAGTGGTTTTTGTAACACCAACTCAGGAACTAATTTACCATCCTCAACCTCCTTTACTTTCAATGTGAAACATTCGTTTTTAGCCAAAGTATAAGTTTTTACCGAATTGCTCCCAATATCTAAATCCTCCGCACTTTCTAAAAGGAAACGAGTCCCGACTGCGGCTGATTCCGCGATTTTTAAAGAGAGTTCGTTTGTATGAAACCGAGGTGAATTGTCATTAATGTCTTTTATGTCCACTTCAATTCGGTGCAGATTTAAAGGTTTTTCCACCACCACTTGCAGAGGCAGCACGCAGGTGGCGCTTTGTCCGCACAAAGCCTCTCTGTCTATTCTGTCGCTGACCAGCAGCTCGCCCTTCCCCGCATCCACGCTGAAATACTGCTTACCAGCCTCGGAGGCGACACGCAGATTGCGCTCAAATATCTCAGACAGCCCCAAAGACAGATCTCTGGCCACATTTCCCACCACGGAGCCTTTTTTGAGCTCCTCGGGGATGCTGTAACGAGTCTGCGCATCCACTGTAGTCCACAAGAGAAAATGCCACAAAAGAGCTCGCCATCGCCAGTCTCGGTTTCCTATTGTCTTTGTCATCCTTGCTCCGCTATGATGCAAACATCCTCATCCTCTTCAAGGAATTTGCTCCATCCACACAAATTGGGGGATATTTCAACAACAACAACAAAAACATCTCAAGCCATTTGGGCGGAACTACAGAATAAAATGCGTTATAATGTTCGAAAAATACGAGCTGATTCCTTTCTGTCTGTGCCGCAGCCCAGTGCTTTCTACGTGTTAGTGAGATGAAGCTGCGCTGGGGGCTGGGACGAGATTGCTTTGTACAGTCTTCAATTCTATTGGTTCACGGCTCGCACTTCCACAAACCAATCAGAGGGAAGCTGATCCTCATTCACTCTTAAAGTCACAGCCTCCCCACGCCTCCCTTCAAGCATTCGTATTAATATTATTTTTTTGGGGGGGGGGGGCGATTTGG